TATTTTGGCTGTGACAATTTCTCAGAACACCAAGTGTGGGGAGCCAGACCACAGTGAGTCTCTCACAACACGGAAGAGGGACAGTCATCCCAAGCCAGTCTCTGAGCAATCAATGTGTAAATGACAGCAGTAAAAGACACTTCTGCTTTTAACAGGTGTGATTTATTCACAACAGGTTACAGACATCTGGTCATGAGAAACACAGAGTTGACCACTGTCATTCAGTTAATTATTTTTTTTATATTTTTTTCGTGAGAAGTTTGAACTCAGAGGCAGAGTCATGTAATGCAAATGAGATGATCAAATATTTTTATGCTTAGAACAGCAGCTCTAAAGCTGGATGCTTACTAAGGAGCTTGACTTATGTAAACCAGCATTCCACATACCCCCATACCTTCAGAAGGAGCCCAATTCCTCACATGCAGACCCCAACCCAAGTGATTTCTCCAACGTGTAAATCTTAATCTTTTCCCTGCACAGAGCAAACCCTAGGAACCAAAGTGTTCCCCTCCCATCTGCAGACCTGCACTGTGACAGGTGGGGCTTGTACAACATGGGTGCATGAGAGAGGGCATGAGAGGTTCAGAGTGCCACGTGGTTCACGTTACTGCCCAGGAGTTAATCAGAAAGATACAATTTACAAAATCCTTCAAAATGAGTCACTTGCAAAAGCCAGTTGCCAGCCTGTGTCTCAGCATGCTTGTAATTGTGATTTGAAAATTACTTCTTGCTTTCCCCACATGTAAAGAAAACCTCTCAGATTATGCTGCTGCTTGCAGTCAGGTCTGAGCTTTGGTCCTACAGCTTCCTCTGCATGCAGCATCTCATGCCAGCACCACTGGCCCACGAGCTTTTTCTTTTCTTTAAAAAGCACTCAAACACTTGCCTTTAGCAAATAAATCTACTCAGCTGGAAGCCCAGGTTTACCTGTTGCAGTGTTAGAGAAAACTCATCATCTCCATAACATGCTTTGTTCTATTTTCCATTTGAGAATGTTACTGTTCTTTATGTGAACAGCTGTTTGTTAATATTGACTAATGTTATAAAGTTGCAAAATTAGTACAGGTATTTACACTAACATATGCCCAGTGTGATGGTCATTGCCTTACATTTTTAGGACACCCCCTCCTACCATCCAATTCCAGCATCTGGCACAGGCTTAAAGCCCAGGTTCAGTAATGTAGAATTAGTGACAGACACTGCAGGTGAATGGTCACACAAAATGACAGGAAATGCTGCCTGATAAAGACTATGAGTATATACCCATTTAATATAGCTTTTGTTAACTTACACAAACAATTTTTTAAATATGCACAAGGAAATTCACTGCCAAACCAAGCCATTGCATTCTCAGCGTTTTGCTGTAGATCATCTGTGAATACAGATGCTTTGGAATATATTACATAGCATGTGAGTGGCACACATGGGCAGATCCTGGAGCTGGCTGGGACAGAGCAGAGCTGTGTAGAGGACAGCACACAGAGGAGTGGAGGCCAGAGCAGAGGCTTGGGGAAAGCAGACAAAGAGAGAGGTGTGGGCATTGCCGACAAGGACAGGAAGCCCATCTCTCAGTATGAGCTGGCTGAGCTTTCCCATTTCCCTGCCTCCTGGGGGGGCTGGTAGGCTGCATGCAGCTGTCAGGTTTGAACCAGAATGAACAGACAGATTCAGGAAGGTTGGGCTCATGCTGGTTCATCCTTTGTGGCATCAGGAGAAGCACAGTGTTTCTCCAGGCCCTGGAGACCCCTTCTCTCCGCCATTGTCTACCAGCTGTGTGCCCGTGAGCAGGGCTGCTTAGAGTCTCTGGGTGCTGCTCTTCCCCAGCAGTGGGCTGGGAGGGATGACGGGGAAACTGCAATGCTCCTGCACTTCCAGGGAGTACTTTCACCTTGTGCAATCCAGCACACAGTGCGAGGCTAACCATCCGTAGCCGATTGCTTTCTGCAGGGACTGCAGCAGAGGTCTGCAGCACGTTTTGACTGCGACAGCTGTGGTTTACTTTTTATGCTACCAAAGTGAAAAGAAGACGTTAAACTGAGCTACTGCCATTGTTGTTATAGGACTTAACCCTGTTAGAGCAGGAACGGGAACACAGGTGATTCCTTTTAAGGAAGGAGAGGAAGAATGCATGCAGGACTGATGCTTGAAGGCAAGGCTTAAAGCTTCTAGCTTTAACAAATTAAAATGTTGCATAATTATTCATTGATTGCTAACAAAAAACACGGTATGGTCACCATCAATTTATCACATGAGCCACACGGTGCTGCTGGAGGTAAGGGTGTCAGCAAGCTGAGGCTGTCTTCCTCCAAGTAGTGGTGGATGGCAACCAGGAATGCAGAGCCTAGCAAAACAGAACCTGCCTATGGCCAAGTGCAGGTGGAGAACAGTCACTGCTAAAATTGGAATCAGGTCAGCTTTTTCAATGCTTTCTCTTTTTTGTCACTGTACATTTGAATTTCAAGGCATGCCTTCTGCTTGGAAAAGTACATGCAGGAAAGGTTTAATTTTGAGATTGGCTCCAGTATGAAATCAGAGTAAGTCTATTTTGATGCTAATTTGAACTACATGTAATCACAGTGGCTACTATGTCTCCATAACTGGCTGCAGAACAAATAACATCATTCTGCCAGAATAGCAGATGCATCTTTCAGTAATTTTATTAAGCTGTATAGAAAGGTATATGTACTGTTATGTTTTATTTATCTTCAAATTCTTACTTCTTGCCTCACAGTAAATAAGATACTTTTTGTTGTTGCTTTGGCTGTGGTATTTTTAATCCCCATCAGTTCAATGTCCAGAATATGGAGAGGATATGGTGGAAGCTCTCAGCTCCCCTCGGGGTTCCCTTAGGATTCTGATGAGCTCCCCTGCCCTGCCCCTCACCTCCCAGACACTTAGCTGGTCGAGGGTGAAGTTTGAGCCACCACCTGTGTGATGATGGTCTTTGGTTTGTCTTCTCTCTCTAGATGCTTCTTTTTCTGTCTGTACCAAAGCACTGCTTTCTGTGGTTTTTGTTAGACTCTGCTGAAATGCATTTATCAAGGCAAGCCCTTACTTTAACTCCTGCTTGTCTTTTTTCCAACTGTACAAGCTAGTATTCTTCCTTCCTGACCGGATGCCTTTGCAACATCTTGGTGCTGGATCATTTCCATAGTTACGCCATACATTTCTCTTCAGGTTGCTTTATCTGTAACTTGTAAATGTGGGTTTGTCTCATTCCTGCAGTACAGGCTTCTACAAATAATTGCAAATCTATCTTCCTGGGCATCAGCAATCTTGTTCAATATCATTGATATCCATGTAGAGAACGCCCACGTGGATCACTTGTCTTGTGTCACAAGTTGGATTGAAGTCCTTTGGATTTCTGTCTGTCTGTTGCTTCAGGAAGGAAGAATCGTGGTTTCATCACAAGGAGTTTTTGTTGCCATGTGTAATTTTTCAAACCAGATGTACGAACAGTGTATTTTTTTCCCTAGATCTGGTCCACATTGGCCTGTGAAACAATTAGCTTAATTAAAACCGGTGACAAAACTGCACCTTTGAAGATGACAAATCATTGTCATTTGTTTTGCAGGAAGTCAAGCTAGGCTATCACAGCAGTCTTTCTTATCAGATGCTCGAGTATATAAAATTCAATGTTCTGGCTTAAAGGTAATAAATAGCTTGTATATTTTTACACCAGCGAATTACACACTGCATAGCAGTATCTCTAGCAACTCCTCATTTGTGTGCAGCGATACAGTATTAACAAGTGTTTTAAAAATTGTGTTTTATGACTGTGGAAATTTGTGTGGGTAGGGCATTGTTCACCTAAGGCTGCAGTCTTCCCTTCTCCCAGTTTGGAAGAATTAGCATTGTGAGAAGCTTCTCCATTTAAATGAATCATTGTACCTAGAGCATCTCAGAGACTTCTTTACTTCCATCGTCTACATTATGAATGTAGCTTTGAGGCCGTGCACAAACCAGGCTTGGCTTCTTATGATTTGCACTGAAAAGCCATTGTGGTTTCTGAAAATTACTAAGGTTTCTCTGGAAGATGTTCTCAAAATATTAGAATATGGTGTGGATTTCAGGTGTGTAAGGAAAAGCAGATAGTGCACTGAACTTATTACCAATATCTTCCTAAGCAGTAATATGCTATTGTTCTGGCTTATATTGCAATGTAAGTTGTCTGTAAATTTGATATGTCAAAGGGTGTAAAGTGTACTAAGGAAAAAAAATATATATGTAGGGGTTTGATGATTCCTGCTAAAATGAGCATCGTGAGACTCTGGATTTGTAGAATTGTGTTGTTGTACCTTTATTAGCATTATAAGCCCATACAGGCACTCTGCTGCCTTTGTTAATCAAATTGAGACTTTTTTTCTTTAAAAAAAAAAAAAGTTTTCCCTGGTGTATGATTATGACCATTAAAGCATTTTGTTCAGAAATATAGGACAGGCAGTTTTGATAATTCAGTACTGGATATCCAGAGGCAAGCTTGTTGAAAGCCTCGATACATAAGTGATTTCCTAAGTAGTCTCTCTGATGTGAGCTAGAGGATTTTTAAAAAAATATTTGCCAATACAAATGTGAATAGTGAATTCAGTAAGATAACTTGAATTCCAGATAACCTTTGGGTTGTTTACAGGGAGACTTAGCCTTTGTGCTGTGAAGAGAGCAAAGAAAATAAACTCCTATAGTGTTACTTGTCTTGTGATTTGCATTGAAAATCAAAGTAATTTTATGGAAAATTCATTAGTTTTTTTTTTGTTTTTTTGCCTTTTTTTGCCACTTCTTGTCCTTTTGAGAAATAACCTTGGTCACTATATATAGTGATATAAGATCATAAGAGCAACAGTGTTGGATTCTGGTGTTTGATGTTAATATCCCTAGTCTTGCTGATTCAAAAAACCCCACTGATGTGCAGCATGGAATTATTGATGTGTTAAAAACTAAATAAAAAATTAAAAGCATGTTGAAGGAGGAGAGGATTTTTATTCTATAGGGACCAGCAAACAATTTTCTAGAATATTTTTTCTAAATGTAATCTCACTGAGTAAGTGAAATTATGCTGCATTGCTGCATGTTCCCTGTTTTGTTCGGTTCATTCTGATAATTTATGCAAGCAGTGAAAAGATGCTATTGGATCTTACTACAGACCGTGATTGAAACTTGCAATTTGTGATCCGTGCTTTCTCCTCCCAGAAGCTGTCACCATGCACCACCGTCCTTACAGCTGTGCATTTCTGACATAGTGCTGTACCTGCTCCCCGGTTTCTCTTAAAAATCTGTTATCAGCTAAGAAAAGGAAACAAGCTTTTGATCCTGTGTGTTTTGAAAAGGGAAAAATAAGAAAAACCTTTACTGGTGCTTTTTTGTTTTTAATGCAGTAACGAACATACTGTCGAGCAATCACAGGTAGGGGAAGGGTGTAGGTGGTAGGAAAGCTTGGAAGAAGAACAGCATCAGCTATGAAGAATTTTGTTTTCCTGGTCTGTAAGCGATGCTGCTGTAATTCTATCTGCATTTTTTTTTCTGCTCATTCACCACTCAGCAGCTGGTAGGGAAGTAAGACTGCCTGGCAACCACCTGCAGAGCTGCAGAGATGAATTACATTTTCGGAAATAACACACTCCTCTATTCTCGCGCCAATCGAGGCAACACGGGCTCAAGCCATAGCTCCATAGGCCCAAAGCAGAAGCAGTGGGCAAAGAAAGGCTCGGCAGATGAGTTACGAGCGGAGCCTTCCCGCTGGCAGCAGATACTTGCATTTTTCACTCGGAGACATGGTTTCATTGACTGCATTTCTGTTGCTGCCAGCTCCACCCAGGTAATATGCCACTTGTTGAAATTATTGTGTCTGCATGTGTTCTGGTTACTTGCTGGTCAGAAATAGCCGTCTGTTTAGATATTCATGCTTCTCTGATTTATGAATGGTGTTTTCTGTCTGCTTTCATTTTCGTATTTCACAGAGCTCTGTATAATTTTTATCATCAAAGCGTGAAAATGGAGGCACTTAAGATGAGGTACAATTTCTTTTTATAGTCATTTTGCAAGTGGAGAGCCTCCAACAATGTAAATATGAGGTATTTATTGAAATATTGGAAAATGCAGCTTACATTCTGCTGCTTGTCCCTGAGGGCAATAACGCAGCTAAGAAATACCAAATCCACAGCCGTAGTAAGATGACAGTTCATATAAAGACCACATATTTCCCAGTTAAGGAACTGAATTTAAAGGAAAGGATTAAACAGTTAGAGTCTTAATTAAAATATATAGCGGGACAAATTCTAATCTTTGTCAGTTTGATTGCTAGCAGTCTATAAGTAACATTAAGGAATGCCTTCCTTACGTACAGAATATACATGTAATGGTGCAGTCTGTAAGACTGTATTTTTCCATGTCACTGTTGATCTGCTCTAAGTACTGTTTTATTATCAAAAGAGGTAAGAGGAAACAAGTCAAATTTCAAGTATGTAGATTTGAGGAGAATTCTGAAGTTAAAACTGATTGATGTTAGCAGATGACCATCTCTGGATAATGAAACAAAGCAAAATGCTGAGTGCTCTTCAAAAACTAAGGGTTATATTTGGTTTGCTTACTTTTAAGCTAAATTCAGTATTAGCCAAGAGTAATTGCTTTCCAGATTTTATTTATGCTAGAGTAGCACAGACACTTGTTCTTTTTTTTGTTTTGTTTTGTTTTGTTTCTATTGTTTGTTTTTTAAAATGTCCTCAGACACCACTGTGCTGTTCAGGTATTTCATATCTGTTGGTAATTGTCGATCTATTGGTAATGATAAACTCCCATTTCCTCTTACTGTGACATCTGCTCAGTGTTACCTGTTCTTTTGCTTGTGAATTTTGAGTAAACAAATGCGAGACCTTCAGTTCTTGTTGGAAATATGTGTTTGGAAATATGCAGTTTCTGTAATGGGTCAGTATCTGGCCCTAAGTGATGCATTAGGTAGGCAATCAGGTTTTAAGTACTGTCAGTTTTCTGAAGCCAAAATATACAGCACTGTTTTACAGAATAAATATTATGGTTACACTTACCTCAAGTGCTGAAATGCATGAAAAATTCTGCATTCTGACTAGTGAGGACTAGGTGTATGCTGATAAGTAAAACACTAAATAGCCCCTTCTTTGAGAGTGGGTTGCACCGAGTAAAGGTCCTGAGATCCCTTCAAAGTTAAGCTGTGATTCTGTGCATATCCCAGAGTTCATTCTGTTTTTCTGCTATGAAGAAACTTACGTATGTGAAAGCTTGCATTTTTTTTCCCTGAGTCTACATTTCATTCTTACACTAAAAAACAACAGCTTAAATATGTTCATGGCCAAAAGGAGGGAATAAAAACCCAGAATGATTTTATATGTTTGTTAAAAAAGATAAAAAGTACTAAACTTACTCAGAAGTAAGCTCTGAGAATGGAAGAGCCTGTTACAAAGCCTCTTCCTCTGGAAAGCTGCAGTACTTCCCTATGCCTTATCCACCCACTGCAGCTGTTCACACCTCACGGAGGGAAAAATACAGACACTTAAAGATTGCTCCTTGTGGTGCAGTTTTGATTTTCCGTTCACTTCAGTTTTGTTCTGTGATGCAGCATTCTGAAAATGGTTGATGACTTTGTTCTAATAACATACTGTTACTAAGGGCATCCCCATTATCTGGATTTAATCAACACTGCAGAGTCTAAATAATAGGCATGATGTACTTCTCTAACCTTGTCTGTTGAAATTCTGCTTATGATGAGGAGCAATATCTTTTCATACTGTTAGAACATGGTGATTTGTAATTTATGTGGAATTAAGCTGATAGTTTTTAAGCTACAGGTCTCTTGTTTCCCTTGTGAATCCTTCATGAGAACCTTCTGCATAACAGCCATGTTTGGTGGTCCCTTCATCACTTTAGCTTTCCTGGCTGGGAAGGTATAGCAGGACACGATGCTTCCTTTGGTCCTTCTGTGAACGTTCATGTTGGAGATGGGGCTGCATGCTCCCTTCCTTCTTTGGTGCTTGCGATAGTTTACTTCCCCAGCCAGGTGCAAGGAAGACCTTTGTTAAGGAAGCTGTCTATCCCTGGGCATAAAGCCCATTCCTTGTACAGCAGTGAGCTGTCAGAGGTAGCAGTGCCAGCCACCCCACTCCTTGCGCTACGCTCTTCCACGTATCCAGGAAAGCTGATGGAATGTGCCAGGCATTTGAGACCTTTGTTCTTTTTTCCGTCTTCCTTCTGCTTTCTCTGTGATGAGGAGTTGGTTATTCACTTAGAAGAATTAAGGGATCTAATTAGAAGCTGGTCTTTCAGTTCTTGTTTATAAATACATAAATTTCTTTAATAAAAGCTGGAGCTCTGAGAAGCACCTATTCTTGATGGTGAATACCACTATCCCAATGCCTCAGAATGCATTTTAACTCTAAGTGGTTCTTGGCCTGCACTGTGCTACAAATTCAGAAACTGACTTGTCTGAAACTCAAAGCGCCGAACTTGTTCTAATAGCAGTGCACTCGGGCTATTGTGAGCAAGTAATGTGATATAATACGCTTCCAGCATTTGATACTGGAAAATTGTTCAGCTCTATGGATTTGCTGTGCTAATTCCTACCTCAGTTTTTTAGGATATGTTTTAGGAGAGGGAAAAAAAAGAAAAGGCAGAAAAGCCCGTAACTCCCCTCATCCATTTCACTCATACCATTAGTGTACAAATTCTATATCTTAAATTTCAGAGCTTACCAAACTGCTTCTGCCAGTTGTTTAAGCCCAAGCGTTTCTTCCCTTTGGATCTCTCCCTTTCAGGATACGCATATCAAGTTTTACTGTATGCCGTTATTCCAAGAATATTGCTTGGTAAGGAGAGCTCTTTGAAATATTATGAACATAGTTGTAGCATGTATAAAGTGCTGTATTGTAATCAGAACTTATCTTTATCCACATCACCTTTTTTATTGTACTTTTTACAGCTCATGACCTGCAAAAGTTGATTTCTTACCGCAATATTTACCATTCCTTTCTATAATTTTGGTATATTTAACAACACTGTTATATATATTTCTAGATATAGAAATCACAAAACTAAGGGGCCAAAAAGAAAAGGCAGGGAAGGTTTCATGTAAAACCTGGAATTGTACCTGGAACCTACAGAATATATTGCAACTAAAGTTTCAGGAGGTTTGATAGCAGTGTAGGTATTGAATGTTTTAGCCAGACGTATCAGGATGAGTCTCAATGGATGATGTGTTTTAAGAATGTTAAACTTCAGTGTGAATGCACAACTGGTATAGCTTCACTTCAAGTTTACAAGTGAAGCTGGGATTTGATTATGGCAACCACCATGAGGCATTAAGTTCTTTACTAGGAGGATTTGTTCAGCACATTGTTTGGACTGAAATAGGAGATGTAGTAAAGAAAAAAGGAGTTTCAGGACTGACTGTAGAGAATTTTATATGATACATTTTATATGACACAGAATGGTTGTTATTAGATTCTTATTGCAGACTTTTCCCAGAGTTTAAAATCTCCATACTCTGCCTATACTCTGCCTATTAACTGCTGCTGCTAATACTGTGATTAATACATGAGAAAGTAGCTTTAAATAGATTGCTTTGGTTGACTTTAACTATGAGAGCACTATCTGAGGCGTAAATGTGAGTTCTACTGTAGTGTTTCCATTTCCTTTTTAGCTATGTGGTATCACACATCTGTAGCAGGATGAATTTACTTTTTGAAAATATTAATTCTGCCACTGGTCCAATTTTACATAAGGTGGATTTATAGCGAAGATAAAAATGATATGAATTCAAGCTTTAAAGGAGACATTAACAGCAAGTATGTTCTACTCAGTAGTTTGAGAATGAGCAATTTTTGACAAATTGAGCTTAAACCTCGGGTTCATTCAGAAATGATGTGCAATCAAGACTGTGAAATTTTCTTGATGAAAAAAACCCAACAATTTGAAGAGCACATTAAAATCAATAAATCTTAGGAATACGTAACATGAATCATGTAACATCATGTAGATTGTGGGTGTCCTGCTGGTTCCCTGCTGTAGCCACTATCTTTCCTCTTGCAAATGACTAGTATGCAGGTGAAGAAAAGGGGCTGTGCTTTTTCCTTCCCAAACCCATACAGTGGTTGTCACATTGGCACATGCAGTGCACTTGCTGGTTTCATCACTTGCAGCACAGCAGTGATGATGAAAACTGGTGACAGGCTGCCTTGCTGTCGGAGGGCCTGGGGTTCTGCTTTCTCACACCTGTTATTTCACAGTTGCTCTGTCTCACTCAGAGCTGATTTTACAGAATTTCTTCATATTTGTGTTCCACTGTATCTCAAGAAAATTAACTTTTCCAGAATGAATCAGAAATGTGCTAAGTGAAGGAGAAGGGAACACAATGTCACGCTTTTGAAATAGCGCTGCTGCTGTCAGGGTCTGTCTGTCTACATTGGCCCTAGATCCACATTCAAGCAAGGCAGGCACTTTTAATCCAGTATCTTCAGCAAATAATGCGGGTGGACTCATGGAAGTCTGTGAAAGGGGTAGGACTCTAGGTTTTTCATATAACTTTGCAAATTTATTTCATGTTGTGATAGTTGTCCTCTCAGCTGAGGCTTGTATTGACAGATGAAGTGTTTTGGAAATCAAGTACAGGCCAGTCCACTTTTCACCAGCTGTCAGTTTACTAAACAGCTCAAGCAAGCTCCTTCAGTGTAACATTTCTGTTTTGCTGCCAAAGCTGCTGTATATATTTCAGTTAATACAATTATTAAGTAAATGACTGTGTGACAGAATCACTGAATCTAAAGTGAACACCATCCTCTTCCTGTTCTTCTA